GCAGGTGCAGTGTTGATCAGGAATCCTTTCGTTTTGGGAGGAGAATTTCAAATTTTATTAGAGGTTTTCATGTTTCTTATTAATGGATCCCTGCAGTTGGTCCTCCTGGGAAATCTGCCAGAGACCTGTGAAATTGGTCGGATTGGACAACAAACTCCTATAGCTGTTGTTGGCATGTGCCGAGCTGCACATGGCAAGGCTAATGAAATCGGTAGCAGTTACAACTATTGAGTATGTTGCTGGCAGTGGGGAGGGTGTAGAGCTGGGGGGAAAGCTGGCATGTAAATCTGAGTGCCAGGATGCAGCTGCGGAGCCCTCTGCAATATGTCTGTCTTCTAATCTCTCTGATCTAATCTGGAATCTGATCCTGCAAGATGCCAGCCTCTTCGGAGGCAAGGGAAGAGGTGGGACGAAGCGCCTCCTTTCCCACTGATTTCCAGTGCTGCCGAAATTACCCGCTCATCCTATCATGATGGGATGGGCGGGTGGTTTGAGGCAGGAGCATCAGTCTGCGCTGCTGCTTCTGCCCGCTGATGCCCCAGACACAGAGCTGGGTATCAGGCTCGATTCAAAGGATTATTTTTTTCAGTGTGCTCTTTGAATGTGGCATTGATGTCTACATGCCAGGCAGGGCAGTGGTGTCTGACAGAAGGGGGACACAGGTGTTTTATTGCATGGATAAACGTGAGAATTTCTGAGTTGTACTTGGAGCCCAGAGGTGAAAGTTGAAAAGTTTTAATAATTTGCGTGCTATTAGGATTTGAGATCAAAGGAGCCTTTTGACAATGAACAACTGGTTTGAACTGAATATCCCTGAAATTGGAGGCTGACGTCAGCCCCCTTGGGTGATTGTGCCACACAGCAAGGCAAATGAGTGGATGGTCCCAGCCCTGGCTCCTGCAGGCACATGTCGGTGTGAGCTTGTGAAAGGTCAGGGACCGTGGAGGATGAGAGACCAGGTTTTTGAAGGTGTTTCAGAGACCTTAAAATGACATTTGCTACATCCTGGGACTGCTAAAAGGGCCTGATTTCTGAAGGCAGTGGGAGTCCCATCGTTTGCACAGCCAGGTGCTGCTGAGGTCTGGGAGCTTGGCCCCAAATTCTCCGCACCCCCGGACTCAGTCCCGGGTGGTGGGATGCAGCGTATGATCATGGTGTATTTGGAGGCTTGCGTTGCTGGTTTTATCTTTCCTGCGGTGAACTCCAGCCTCTCAAACTATGACCCAGTTTCCTCTCATGAGTTTTAAATTTATTAGATGAAATAAATAGAAAAATACTGTTTGGGGAGACATAGTTAGGTTTGAAGTGCTTTGCAGAGGCACACTGGAGTTTTGAATGAAAAATGCACATCCTGAGCTCCAGTGAGCAATAGCTTTGGGAACAGAGCAAGCCCGGATGGTGACTCCTCCAAGTGATTATTTTTCTGCCTTAAGCCTTTCCAGGAATTTGAGTGTGGGCAGGCTGCCAGCGGACACTGGCTGTCCAGACACTTTAGCAATGTTCCATGTGTACTCGCTGCCAGAGATACCAAAGTCCAGCTGCTGTCCCTGATCTCTTTGTTCCCTTCACCTTCCCAGCCATAATTACACACGCGTGCGCGCACGCACGCACTTGTGTGACACGCACACGTACAAAGCAGGAGCAAAAAGTCACCTGGTGCTTGCTGCTCTTTTACATATCTCACAAATTGTGATCGACAGCTCTGAAGTTAATGAGAAAGAAAATCTCGAGCGTCAGAAAAATTACTTGGATCCAAAAAAAAAGCGCACGAGTAACAAACGGTGCGGCACACCGCAGAAGGCAGGCATCTGTCTTTCTAGGACAGCCAGCAAACAACGGCTTAACAAAGTCTTGTAGCTCTTGCCTTTGAGATGCGGTTTGGGTTGTCTCCCTTTCATTGCTTCTCAAGCAGAATCAGTTCTGTCTTATCTTTGCTGTTGCTGGAATGTGAATTATGCTAAAAACTTAGCATTTTACTTTAAACTCTTGAAGTAGAAGCAGGCTGTTTTATGCTGCACATTTGCATTTCTGCAAATCCAGTTCTGTGCCTGTTAAGAGTTCAAAGTCTCACCATGAAGTACTTAGGCTTGGAAAAGTGGGGCAGTTTTCACCGCCCTACAGCCGTCTCAACCCTCGTCTGTGTTAAGTTTGTTCGTTCCTCTTATGCTCTCCGGGAGATTTTGGGCAGCCTTTTGTTACCGGCGATGGTGAAGTCAGACATATGAAAGATTAAAAAAAAGAAAACACCAAAAGATTTAGTGTGTGGCATTTTTAAAGGATGTTAGCTTTGACTTTGGAAGCTACCCAAAACTCAGTGGTTTGATGCTCTTTAGCAGATCAAAACCTTTGCTTCAGCTCCTGCAGAGTGAAACTTCACCAGGTTTCATACAGCTTCATAGTAGTACCTTTGATGCAGAGCAGCTGAACCCAGATGCTTCGAGCTTTTGGAATGACATGTTTTGTGGAGCCTGGTTTATCTATCACAGCAAGAGAGACTGGCCCTATTCAGTCCCATGTGCAAGCTCCCTGTTTTGTTGGGAGCAGAGAGGCCAGCGCTCTGCTCCCAGCTTTTCCTTATGGGAATGTATTGAAATTCTGGGTTTGCAGCTTGTGTCCAGCTCCACGAGAGATGGACGGATGGTCCGAGCCTAGTGCGAGCTCCCTGTGGCAAGGGAAGCAGGACGAGTGCCCCACGTCGAGGATGTCCCCGGGCAGCTGCCTCGGCCAGGAGCTGCTGACTTGACTTACCTGCCAAAGCTGACTGCCCAGGGCAGAAGGCTACAGTGAGCTAAAGTTAACCAAGGATGACTCCGCAAATGTGAGCTCGGCGATTTTATTTTTAGTCGAACTTAAAAATCTCTAAGTCATGTGTAATATAATAATTTTAGCTGTTGCCAAGACACGCTGAGCAACTGTTGGGAGGAGGGGGAGGACCCGTTCTCGTACAGCAGGGCCCCTGTGTCCTGGCTGCCCTCATCCGGCCGCGGTCGCAGGCGGCGGTGCCGG